GAGGGAGGGGGAGAGGGAGGGAAGGAGGAAGGAAACGGAGAGGAAGGAAGTCCAGGGCGGGAACTCTAGACAGAGAGACAGGGGAGAAACATGAAATCTCCTCGGGGGAGACACCGCAGGGCCCGGCCCTGCTCTGAGGGACAGGAGTGGGGAGCGAGGGCCACCGAAGATCTAGCCCTTGGGCCTGGCTGGGACGGCCGGAGCCTGACCCCTGCCGCCCCGCTTCCTCCTGGCAGAGGCTGGATGGAGGAGCCCGACCTTGACCCCCGTCTTCACGGCCCAGTGCTCAGAGGGGCTTCCTCCAGTGCAGCCAGGCGAGGGAGAAGGTAGCAGGCTCCGTGTCCTTAGGGTTCCCCCCACAAGATCCTTGGACGGAGCCAAGGGCCAGGCTTCCTGTCCCAGGCTCACTGCCTAGACGGGCTGCTTCTGTGTGAAATGAATTCCGCTGCCAAGTAAACACAGGGTCAGAAAGTTGGCCACGAAAACTGACATCCTTGTTTCTACAGGACAGATCTGAGGCCCGGGAAGATTCGGCCTCCTGCCCGGGGCCACACAGCTGGACAGGCCCTCGGTGCGGAGTCTAAGTGCACTTGTCAGAAGGGAGGGTGGTATGAGATGAAACCATCCTTGTGAGGACACCATGTGGGACAGTGGGAGACCCAGGCCACCAACATGTCCCCTGGTGGCCGAGAGAGGCGGCCCCTCCTCGAAGCCGCACCCCTACCTTTCCAGGACCTGTGTTGGACACCTGTGAAAACCACATTTCACAGGGATGGAAAAGACCTCAAGATTCAGACAGAACATCACATGTCGGGGTCTCTATCTTGATAACTGGTCAAGTAGCTAACGTATTTTTTTTTAATATTTAATTTATTGATTTCAGAGAGAGGAAGGGAGAGGAGAGAGAGAGAAACATCAATGATGAGAGTCATTGATCAGCTGCCTCCTGCACGCCCCCTGCTGGGGATCGAGGAGCCCGCAACCCGGGCCTGTGCCCTGACCGGGAATCGAACCGTGACCTCCTGGATCCCAGGTCGATGCTCAACCGCTGAGCCACGCCGGCCGGGCGCTAACGTATTTTTAAAAGTATGTATGTCTCTATTAATAAAACCAGACTCTGTAATAGGAGATAAAAGCACGAGCTAGAGAAAGACGCAGGTGGAACGGCAAGTCCCAGCAGAGAGCGCCTGGCCGCGGGCTCGCCATGCTTTTCGTTTTGTTTCTCAGTGTGGTCGGCAGCAAGGCTCCCGGTACCAGGCCTGCCCCGGCCAGCGGGCTCTGCGCGAGTTCCCTGCCTGCCCACGCCTCGGTCCCTCGGCTGTAGAGGGGCCGTGACTGTGACAACACACACCTGCGGAGGCTTTGGGGAGAGCGAAGGACATTCGGCGGAAGGCTCGGGGCACAGCGCGGGACCCGAAGCAGGCGGCCTGCCCCGTCGTCACCGCCACCACCACCGCCCTCCCTCCCAAGCCCCTGGTGCCTACCTCCCCCAGGGCCCGGAAGGCGCTCACGGCGTTGACCCACGCCAGGACGGGGCCCTTGTTGTCTGTGGCTCCCCGTCCGTACAGTTTTCCTGGAAAGGGGGGGAGAGCTGTCAGAGGAGCAGGGGTACCCCGCCGGCCGAATGCTAAACAGGTGGCGGCACAGTGACCGCGTGACAGGCCTTCTGCCCCAGGCGCAGGCCCTGCGCTGAAAGCGCGGTGTGTTCCTCCTGCAGACAGCGCGGCCCAGGGGGTCGGGAGGGAGCTCCTCGGCGCCCGCAGGCCCGTCCACCCCGAGGGCCAGCAGCTGTTTTACCCACGTTCACGGCGGAGGACCTGCGGCTGTTACACACCTGACATAGTCTCGCATTCTGAGATTTTACGAGCAAAAGAATTTAAAAAGGGTATCTGTGTCTCCATTAACCTTTCTTCTTTCTTTAAAAAGAAGTTTTAAACTAATTAAAACATTTGGGAATTTCAGAAAGAAGACGTGTGCCCAAACAACCGTTTTCCCCACGCCCCAAAGGCTCCATCGTGGGGAGCCCATTCACCCAGGGGCTCAGAGGGTGGCAGTTTCTTTGGCAAATGCAAGAAAGACCAACTCATAGACCACGAGAGTGGCATTAGTTCACTCTTTACAGCGACAGTTAGACCTGGAGCCAGGGACGGAGGCCTGTCTTAAATCGTCACCCCCGTGAGCATCCCTCATCCACGCTGGGCCCGTCACTGACCGTCCACTTCCGTCAGCGTGTAAGGGTCCGTGAGCCACCCATCGGCCTGCCTCGCCGGCTGCACGTCCAAGTGGCCGTAGAAGCACACGGTGGGTTTCCCTGGCTCGTTCCCCAGCTCGGCCAGGATGACGGGAGGCATCGGGAGAGTCTGCCCATCGGGCAGCTGCAGAGGAAAATGGGTCACGGCCTTAAACGAGAGCTGTTTGGTTCGCCCTGAAAATTCAGAGACATGACATTGGGAGTCCTGTTTCCACCCCCGGGTCTTATGGAGCCCACATAATTCTCTAACCACCCTTTACCAGCTCTATCATGGGCACCACGGGCACTTTTAATTAACATGTGAAACGTAATTAAAACAAAGCACTTCCTTAGACACACACTGACAGAGAGTGAACTTAACCGGGGTGCTCTTCAGCAGGAACCCAGACTCAACAAGCCTGAACCGGGTGGACAGAGTCGGAAAACGAACCATCCGGAGACTCGTCAGCGCTAAGCCAGGCGGCGGCACTAGGCGCTGGATTTAAGATCGCCATTCGTGACCGAGCGGCAGGAGCAGGCAGTGATCTGACCAGAGGCTGGAGCCTCTGAGAAAGATGCACCAGGGCTTCAGGGAGATGTGCAGCTTGCGTGCAGGGTGTGGACAGCGGGGACCTCTCCAGAGTAAGTCACCTTCACTCACGTCCTCTACTTGTGCTCTCCCCACTCCCCCCCAAGTCCTTACATGATGAGAAACCAATACATGAGCCTCATCTGGTACGAGGAGGAACCAAGGGCTGCTTTAACTGAGGGTCAGGGCAGGCCCCGCCCTGCCACCACCCCGGGTGGGCGTGGCCGATGCACAGGGAAGTGCAGCTCACAGGGGAGGGGAGGGTCCACCCAGCACCTGCTGAGAGCCCAGGTCCACGAGGTCCACGCTGGCGCCCAGGCGCCGGAGCTCCTCGGCAGCCACGGCCATCATCCTGAAGAGCTCTTGTCGGAGGCGGGGCACGGGTTGGACGGAGTCACTCTCGATGGCCACCCACTCCTTCAGCGTCTGTGCAGACAGCTGATTAGCATGACACAGGACAGGAGGCAGGGAGTCCCCAACACCCTTCATTTGACCTCCATACTCAAAAGTCCCTGGGACAAGCCGAAGGTGTAAACACAGAGGCCAGAGCGGCTGGGTCAGGAGGAGGATGGGCCAGGCAGGTTGGGGGAAGGCTGTCTTCCCTGCGCCTGGGCCCCTGTGGGTCCACAGGGTTGCAAAGAAGAGCTTGGTTTTTAGCACTGAGAGCGAAGGCCAGCCACATCCACTCTGGGACTCAAGGCTTCCCACAATGTCCTGGAGGCCTCTGGACCTAACAAACACCTGACTTGACCCCCATGGTGGCCTCAGCGGCTGCAGGGCTCCAGAACCATCCTCCACACTTGGATTTTCTGGTCAGCCCATCACTCCTTGTGCATTCGGCATAGTGCTTCAGCACAAAACACCTAAATGCCAAAGGGAGTCCTGATGTTGACTGGTTGGTCAAGTAAAGGTATACTGGACACGTGTGCAGACAGGACATGGGGACTCAAGGTGCAAAGTCTGTGAAAGCACAGGGAGTTCGGGCTGTGGTGGTGGCCTGGCCTGAGCAAGACAGAGGCGGGGAAGAAGAGGGACTTACAGGGAGACTGTGGGTGCATCACTTTCCTGCTTCCCTCCCCAGGCCTCCTTCTCCATCTCCTGCCCCATAGATGCCAGGTGGTGAGACAGGAACAGAGCAGAGGAGAAGAAACAGTGCATCGATCGCACCTGGACTACAAAACAACAGCATCGGCACCAAACTGGCAGAACTCTCGACCGAAAGCTGCTGCAGACAGAGGTTCACTCTGGGTTAGTGTCGTGGGGAAGATGCATTTCAGCCGAGTGCGGGTGGAGAGGGTCTCAGCCAGGGCCCTTCTAGAGGGACAGTGGCAATCTGAGGATGGCTCTGAGTGAACCTGAGCACAGTGGAGTTTGCGGGCCACTGCCAGACACAACTGAACAGACACCCTGAGGTCCAATGTGCAGGAAAGGAACAGAGCGCCCCTTTCAGGAGAAATGGCTGGGAGAGATCTCTCCCATAAACCTAACAGTCTGTGACTGTTTTAAGTCAATGAGGAATCACAGGTGTTTTAAATGGAATTAAGTTGTCAGGCAAAAACCCCCACAGTTCCCGGCAAACAGCCATTCACCCAGACACCAAAAGGGATCTCGTGCAAGCACTCCGAGTGGTTTCTCGAACCTGCACAAATTCATCCTGATGGAGATCCATGTACCGGAAGACCTTCTCGACCAGGCCGGGGTGGGGTGAGGACATGCCTCCCAGGAGCAGCAGCAGGACAGCAAGGAGAGATGACGCCTGCAGGCGGGCAACAGGGGAGGAAGCAAAATAAGAACCAGGGCTTGGACTTTCGACCTTTCCAATACTTGAAGAAAGTCTGTTCTCCAGCACACCTTTGGCCAGTCGCTCAGATGGAAATAACAAAAGGCAGTGGGCTGGAAAATCTACTCTGTGCTCTATTTTCCCCACACACTTTGGTCTCCATGCTGAAGGACTGTAACAAGGCAGGATCCCAGCTCACAAGCCTGTTTTTAAATGACCTTCGTCAGTCTGTTCCTGCGATTTCCTGTCCTGTTGGTTCACTCCCCCTGCATCATAACACACACATATGGTGTTAGGGGCAATATCTGTAAGGGAGAAGAGGGTGATATAATTTTTTTTAATCAAAATTTTTATGTGTGGTGCTGGCCAGTGTGGCTCAGTGGTTAGAGTGTCGGCCTGTGCATCAAAGGGTTTGGGGTTTGATTCCCAGTCAAGAGCATGTACCTGGGTTGCAGGTTTGACCCCTGACCTGGTTGGGGTGCATGGGGGAGGCAACCAATCAATGTGCCTCTCTCACATTGATGTTTCTCTCTCTCTCTCTCTCTCTCTCTCTTCCCTCTCTCTCTCCTCTCCCTTCCACTCTCTCTGAAAAGCAATGGAAAAAATATCCTCAGTTGAGAATTAAAATTTTTTTCTTTTACATACAATTAACCACTTTATTAGAAAGCATGTTTTGTAAACACTGTCTAGAATCCTATGCAGTGTTAGTGTGCGGAGGTTTCCTCCCATCAGCTCCTGAAGGACGGTACTTTGAAAAGAAACGCACAAGGAATAGTGTGATAAGTAACATCTAAGAACTGAGGATAATTCAGACACTGCAGGCCACGCTCCCCACCTTGGGGTCCCTGCTCCATGGCTTGCTCTTCTCTCCCTCCCACCTCTCTGGCTTCTGCTTCCCTCCCTGATGGGTCCCTTCCTTCTCTCTCCCATAAATGTGAGACCTGTGTGTGATCCCAGTCTCTGCCCCCCCCTTTCCCTGTGCCCCCTTCCTGGTCATCTATCCACCCTGCAGTGGCCCCAGGTGTGTGGGGTACAGACCAGAAACCCAGATGGTAGTACTTCCGGACGCAGAACTAACTCATTCTCTTCTCCCAAACCAGCTCTTCTTTGTGGTTTTGCACATTCTGAAAATGGACCATTTTAGATTTAGGCTGCTTCCTTCCTTGACCTCCAGCTCTGGGCACCAACAGAGTCAAGGTGAGGATGTGTGTCTAGACTATAAAGAGCTACACAAGTCAACAATATGAGACAAATTAACCAAATCTGAATAGACATTTCTCCAAAGAAAGTCTACAAATGATCAGTTAAGCACATGAAAAGATGTTCAATCTCATTAGCCATCAGGAAAATGCAAGTCAAACAACAATGAGGAGGTCCAAGAAGGCGACGGGTTGAGTGGAAGCTAGCTACACTGCCACTCTCCCAGGACCAAACTGGAAGTACAACTAAAATACAGAAAAAGCACTCTGAATAATCAACTGCAACTGAAGACGAGCTGGGGAGCACCCTTATAACCAAGGACAAAAAGTGGAGATGGCATAGAGACTGCTTTTGCACAGGGGAGAAGCAATTGCCCCACCCTGCTGGAAAACCTCTGGCCCTACCCCACGGAGTTTCTACAGCCTGAGGCTCCTACAGAGACTGATAACAATCAGCTGCCTCACTCTGTGGAGTTTCTACAGCCCGAGACTCATCAAGAGATTGAATAACAGCGTTTCGGTGCTTTGAGTCTTTGCCTGATTTGCTTCTGGACCCAGGGTTTGGAAAAGCAGACCTTGGTGCACATCTTGGTCCTGTACAAACACACCCAGCCCCAGCAGAGAGAACCAGATGCTTGGAGTGCAGAAAACGTCAAACAGGGTACTCAAAAACAGTCACAAACAGTGTCTGATATTGGCTGGCACCAGAGGCCATCCAAAAGACTGAGAGTCCTAGCAGATCTACCTAATACATAGAAACAAATCCAAACAGGCAGCCAAAATGGGGAGACCAAAAAACAAGTCCCAAATGAAAGAACAAAAGAATTATCCAGAAGAAGAGCTAAATGAAATGGAGATAAGCAATCTATCAGATATAGAGTTCTGAATACTGATCATAAAGATGCTCAACAGCATGAGAAAAGAAATGGAAACTATGAAGGAAATTAAGAATGACATAATAGAAATAATTTTTTAAAATATTGGAAGGAATAAATAGATTAGAGGAAGCTGAGGATCAGATCAGCAAATTAGAAGACAGAGTAAAAATATCACTCAACCACAGAACCAAAAAGAAAAAAATAATTAAAAAACAGGAGGACAGTTTAAGGGAGCTGTGGGACAACATAAAATATAACAATATTCGCATCATAGGAGTGCCAGAAGAGGTCAAAAGTAAGCAAGGGTTAGAGAACATGTTTGAAGAAATGGTGTCAGAAAAGTTCCCTAACCTGGTCAGGGAAAAAGTCACACAAGTTCAGGAGGCACAGAAAGTCCCAAGCAAGAAGAACCCAAAGAGGCCCACACTCAGACATCATAATTAAAATGCCAAAAATTCAAGACAGAGAATCTTAAAGGCAGCAAGAGAAAAGCAATCTGTTACCTACAAAGGAGCTCCCATAAGGTTGTCAGCTGACTTCTCATCAGAAACTCTACAGGCCAGAAGGCAATGGCATGAAGTATTCAAGGTCATGCAAAACAAGGATCTGGAACCAAGACTACTCTATCCAGCAAGACTATCATTCAAAATAGATGGTGAAATAAAGAGCTTCCCAGACAAAAAAGGCTAAAGGAGTTAATCACCACCAAACTAGCATTCCAGGAAATGTTAAAGGAACTGCTGTAATTAGAAGTTGAAATGGAGAGGAAGAGAAACAGGCATGAAGGAAGAAAATGGCAAAAGATAAGTATCTATCAATAATGACCTTAACTATAAATGGATTAAATGCTCCCATCAAAACATAGGGTAGCTGAATGGATAAGAAAACATGACCCAAATATATACTGTCTACAAGAGACCCACCTCAGAACAAAAGACTCATACAGGCTGGAAAAAACACAAAAACAACTTCTAGAGGACTTTAAAGGAGAGATCAACAGCAATACAGTCACCATAGGGAACTTTAACACCCCACTGACTTTACTGGACAGACCTTCCAGACAAAAAATCAACAAGAAAATAGTAACCCTGAATGACACACTAGATCAGATGGATTTAATTAACATTTACAGAAATTCCTCCAAAGCGGCAGAATAGGCATCCTCCTCAAGTGCACAGGGGACACTCTCAAAGACAGACCACATGTTAGGACACAAAACAAGTCTCTACAAGTTCAAGAAGATTGAAATCATATCAAGCATCTTCTCAGACATTTACACAATGGAACTCTGCAGCTGTAAAAAGGAAGAATCTCTTACCATTTGAGACAGCATGGAGGGGCCCGGAGAGTATTATGCTAAGCAAAATAAGCCAATCAGAGAAAGACAAGTATCACATGATCTTACTCATATGTGGAATCTAATGAGCAAAATAAACTGATGAACGAAATAGATCCAGAGACATAGAAGCATGGGACAGACAGAGGGATCTCAGAGGGAAGGTGGGGGGTGGATGGGGAGAGATTAACATAAGAATTTATATGCATAACCCATGGACACACAGACAATAGTGGGGTGAAGGCCTGGGTGGAGGAGTACAGGGTGAAGGGGATCAATGGAGGAAAAAGGGGGACATTTATAATACGTTCACCAATAAAGATAAATTTAAAAAAAAAAGTTGCCCGGCCAGGCCTGGCTCAGCAGTAGAGCATCGATCTAGGATCCAGATTGTGGTTCTATTCCCGGTCAGAGCACATGCCCGGGTTGTGGGCTTGATCCCCAGAAGGGGGCGTGCAGGGGGCAGCCAATCAGTGACTCTCATCATTGATGTTTCTGTCTTTCTCCCTCTCCCTTCCTCTCTCTGAAGTCAATAAAAATATATTTTTAAAAAAAGAAAAAGCCCAGCCAGGCGTGGCTCAGCGGTTGAGCATCAACCTAGGATCCAGGAGATCGGGGTTCGATTCCCGGTCACGGCACATGCCCGGGTTGCGGGCTAAGCAGCTATCAATGACTCTCTCATCATTGATGTTTCTATCTCTCTCTCTCCCTCTCCTTTCCTTTCTCTGAAATCAATAAAGATATATTTTTTTTAAAAAAGGGAACTTGGCCCAGTAGATGGCGCCAGTGAGCCGCCCCTGAGCATCCTTTGCCTCCTCCAGAAGGGAATGAGGCTGGACCCAGCTAATCTCTGCGGGGCAGAGCCAAGACCCAGGGGCTGCAAATAAATCAGGGAGAAAAGCAGCTCTGGGCACCCGGGAAAGGCTCTCTGAAATGGAACAGGCTACCTTTTGCAGCGACCCATCTAAATCAATATTCGAACTGTTATTTTTATTTTCCATGCATTCAATCTCCATTTAAAAAACACTTGGTGCTCCTCCCAATGAACAGTACAGCGGGGACTCTGAAGAAAGGCAGCCACAGGAAAAGAGGAGTGCCTGTGAGGAGGAAGAACGGTTAGGGTTTTGGGGGAGCCCCTCCCTTCCCAACAGGTTCCTGANGCATCGATCTAGGATCCAGATTGTGGTTCGATTCCCGGTCAGAGCACATGCCCGGGTTGTGGGCTTGATCCCCAGAAGGGGGCGTGCAGGGGGCAGCCAATCAGTGACTCTCATCATTGATGTTTCTGTCTTTCTCCCTCTCCCTTCCTCTCTCTGAAGTCAATAAAAATATATTTTTAAAAAAAGAAAAAGCCCAGCCAGGCGTGGCTCAGCGGTTGAGCATCAACCTAGGATCCAGGAGATCGGGGTTCGATTCCCGGTCACGGCACATGCCCGGGTTGCGGGCTAAGCAGCTATCAATGACTCTCTCATCATTGATGTTTCTATCTCTCTCTCTCCCTCTCCTTTCCTTTCTCTGAAATCAATAAAGATATATTTTTTTTAAAAAAGGGAACTTGGCCCAGTAGATGGCGCCAGTGAGCCGCCCCTGAGCATCCTTTGCCTCCTCCAGAAGGGAATGAGGCTGGACCCAGCTAATCTCTGCGGGGCAGAGCCAAGACCCAGGGGCTGCAAATAAATCAGGGAGAAAAGCAGCTCTGGGCACCCGGGAAAGGCTCTCTGAAATGGAACAGGCTACCTTTTGCAGCGACCCATCTAAATCAATATTCGAACTGTTATTTTTATTTTCCATGCATTCAATCTCCATTTAAAAAACACTTGGTGCTCCTCCCAATGAACAGTACAGCGGGGACTCTGAAGAAAGGCAGCCACAGGAAAAGAGGAGTGCCTGTGAGGAGGAAGAACGGTTAGGGTTTTGGGGGAGCCCCTCCCTTCCCAACAGGTTCCTGAGGCATGGTCCCTGGTGGTGGGTCCTCCCACAGGGTCTGCATGACTGCGCTTCCCCTCAGTGCCCGCAAAGTGGACAGAGCACCTGTGTCCTTTGCCGCAGAGACGGTCTGTGGGCACTGACCCTGCCTGTAAGGTCCTGGGGGGGTCCCTGCATCCCCACATCCCCGCACTGCTTGCTGCCTCCCCAGGCTGCTTCACTCACCCCTTTCCCTTTCTGTCTCTTTTCTTGGGTTACAGACACACGTGACTTGGAACTAATTGCACAATTCCTGGCTTTTGTCTTTGCACAAAGAAGGTGCTGGAGGGCAGGAAGGTGAAGAGGGGGCAGGGAGCAGAGCTGGAGGCCTGGTCTTAGCATGATCTCGGTGGGGCAGGTAGCCTGGCTCAGCTGGAGATGCCCCCTGTGGGGCCCTCAGAGAGAACCCCCTCATGCTCTGTGAGATCCTGTTCATTCCAGCTCCTTCTTAGATTTGGAACAAAAATTCTAAGTGCCTTATTTTTAAATACTTTAACTTGTAAGATTTTCTGAAGCCACTTCCACATCCTCAGCAGTGGACGCACCCCCACATCGTCCTCCCAACTGACCCAGCTTCAGTCCAGGGAGCCTCTCCACGGGCCCCGCCTCCGTGTCCCCTCCTCCCGCCCAACTCTCGCCAGTCGCGGGGAAGGTTAGATGGCCTGTGTGCTTAGTTGAGGTGGCCTTGACATCCCCGGGGGCTGCCGTGGCCAATGACACTGTGACGCTTCTAGCCCAGCCCTCCTGCACTGCCAGCTGCTGAGAATTAAGAACCCACACGAAGCTTCTTGCCTCCCCCACACGGCCTGGGCCAGGCCTGTTCCTCCCCTACACTCAGTGGCCCACTGGCCAAACCCTTTTCCACCCATGAGAAACGTTGTGCAGGGTCACCTTGGAGGCCAAGACTCCCACTTACCGAGCCCCCTAGAGTCCCGTGGTGGTGCGGCTGCTCTGGGAAGGCGCTCTGCCGGGGGCTGGGCTGATGGGTTTGCTATTACACGGGAAAGGTCCAGCTCACCGTGCCCAGATTAAAAGTTAAAGCGGGACCTCCCCTCCCTCAACTGGCCTTTCTGGATTCCGCTCAATCCCCCGCAGAGCTGGGCTGGGCCCAGCATTCCGGTGCTTACAACCCCAGCAGCCAGTCTTGAAGAGGGTGTGGTCAGGGCGTGGCTTCGGAGGGCAGCCTGGACACGCTGGGGTGAAGAAACAGAATCCCCCAGAAAGTCCCAAGAGCTGGGAGTTTCCCCACCATCCTCTACCTGCGAGTCTGACCCCAAAGAAAGCTTAGCTCGGGAAGCCGGGGCTCACTCCCGGAGCCCGAGGCCACACCGGCTCCACGTGCGGCGGCTGGAGGCAGGGAGCGCCGGACCGGACCGGCGCAGGGGCAGCGGAGCGCAGTCCTGGGCACAGGCAGGGCGCGGAGCCAGGCTGGGCGCCCACTGCTGCGGCTCCGCTGCCTTCTGTGCCCGCGCTCTGGCCCCTGAGACCCTGCGGCAGCCTGTCTCTAGATGCTTCCAGCCCTGCTCACCACTGAGTGTTTGTTTTGTTTCTCTCCAGCAGAAATATTCTTTACGTTTTGAGTCCACGGCTTTTTAATTGGAAGTTTAAAGCGCGGTAACTGCGCTGCTGGAAGTGGGTGTGTGAGTGTAAGAGTGGACACCTGCTGAGCAATGATCAGAATTCCCTACGGGGACCTCCCTCCCTCTCTTTGGTAACTTGAAACCTTAAAATTATACTGTTAAGTTAAGTGATGGACAGTTGATAAATATTCAGATCATTTCTAAATAAGATAAAACACTGGAACATTAATTTCTGAACATGTGTATCTACTTTTAGCTTCTCGTTAGAGACTAAAGGTATCTGGGTCTGTTGGTAAAATGTTCCTTTGCCATGTTGAAAGCCCTGCTGCCCCGTCCTCAGGCCCCAGCCCTACTCGCTGTCTCTGAGGCTGTGCTATCTACCTGGAAATTGCTCTGGGCCCTGAAGTCTTGGTTTCCTCCAGTGTCTGGCTACAACTCTGCACACCGATGTTCCCAATCTCCTCTCCCCCTTTCTGACTTGGCGTCACTGGGAACTAAAGAGGCCCTTGTCCGAAGCCCTGCACCTGAAGCTGGAGGACCGGACGTAAACTCCAGAGGAGTCACCTCTACAGACCACAGAGGGACAACTTGATCTGCTGCTGCACGGGCCACTCTGAACACTCCCTGGAACACCCATGACATCCCAGAGTCATTGAAACCACAAATCAGTCATCAAAATCACCCTCATAACACCGGCTAAAGATGCTTCCAGCCCAACACCTGGAAATCTTTTTAAAAAATTAATCAGCCCAGCTGGTGTGGCTCAGTGGTTGAGCTTCGACCTATGAACTAGGTCACAGTTTGATTCCCGGTTAGGGCACATGCCCACATTGCGGGCTCGACCCCCAGTAGAACGCATGCAGGACGCAGCCAATCAGTGACTCTCCCATCATTGATGTTTCTTTCTCTCTTCCTCTCTCTGAAATCAATAAAGGCATATTTAAAAAATTGATCAAAGAGAGAGGGAGGAAGGGAGAAAGAGAAAACATCAATTTGTGGTTCTACTTATTTATGCATCATTGGTTGGTTCCTGCATGTGCCCTGACTGGGAATCGAACCCACAACCTTGGCATATGCCGAGGACGCTTTAACCAGCTGAGCTACCCGGCCAGGGTTAGAAATCTTCTTGGCCAACTGCCCTCTGGACTCAAAAATGGAGTTTGGAGTTTGTTCTAGTCATTAATGTTCATTTTTGTTTCCCAGGAATGCGTCTCATAAACGCCTGACTACTGGCAGCACAGGGAGATCGGTGGTCACTCTGGGCCTGGGGGCAGGCTGAGTGGGGAAATAATTCCAAGGGCACAGTGCTTCTTTCTGAGGCGACGAAAATATCCTAAAACCAACTGTGGTGACGGTTGCACATGCTTGTGAATGGGGTAAAAGTGACTGACTTATATATTGAATTATATAAAATGCAGGTTCCTGGGGCTCCCTGCCAAAGGCTTCACACTAATGTGGGACTGGGGTGGGGTGGGGGGCAGAGTTCAGGGATCAGTGAGAAAGGCAGCAAAACACCTGCCCGCACACGGTTCTCCACACCCTCCCCCAAGTCACGCCTCGCCCTTTGCACTCAGCAGCTAGAGGTGCTCTGTGGTTTTAGCAATAACATTGCTTTTCCCGTGAAGGAAAACTGCGCATGGACAAGTGTGCTGTGGTGGGGCCTAGCGCACTCCCCCCGAGAAGCTGCCTGGGCCTCGGGTCCTCACCCTGGCTGCCACCACCCACCCAGCGTGGCTGCGTCCCAGGCACTAGAAAAACGATTTGAAGAGAACACCACACAAGTGTCCGTAAGAATAGACAGCCACCCGGAGCACACCATAGGCCACCTCTACATGGCCTGTCCCTTGGCAGAGACAGTGACACTTGAGGGCACGTCCAAGCAGTGGCAACTCACGGGCCCCGTGCAGCCTGTTCTGTGCACCTGGCTCCCGCATGGCACATGCACCCTTTGGGCAAACACACGTCCAGCACTCTGGTCCCTGCTCTCCCAAAGCTGGAGGCCCACTCACCATTCTGCCCAGTTTGGGGTCCATCGGGCCGGGTTCCAAAGCCTCAGCAGTGCCCCTGGACCTGGACGAGAAGTGGAAAAGGAAACCTCACCAAGGCCTTCGCGGGCACATTATATACCTTGGTGCCAACGCTCGTCTGTGTCCCACAGCCCTCCTCGCAGGAAGACGAGGCTGGTACAGTGGCCCATTCTATTCACACTGGGAAACAAAGATGCTGCACGGACGTCAGCCA